TCTTCTCTTATAGATATTGAAAAATTTCTTCCTTCCCATGAGTGAATCAGACTAGAATCACTTACATGTCGTGAAACAATGCTTACATGGCCTCTAAATCAACAACACATCAAATTTACATGTGAACATATTAAAAGAAATAAAATTGAACAAAAAAGAAATATGAAATTTAAAAAGAGGAGATACAAGTCTGAACAAGCAAAATAAAGAAGGTGAGAACTCTAAAGCTTCTACAACTTTCTTCTAAGTTAAACAAGATTTGTAGATGCCAAGAACTCTACAGGGAAAATAGAAATATTAATATGATGCATAATGAGTCTTGTTTGTTTCTCAAAGTAGATGGGTCTAACCTGTTAAGCAAAATAGACTAAGCACTGTAATGGTCCACAACCTCCTTGCTTTTGTCTCTCCTTTACACTCCCTGAATGGCTTTTCCCCTCTTTTCTCTCTTTCCCCTTTGGCCCTGCATGCTTCCGTTGTTTTGTGACACATAATTCTAGTCTGCTTTACTCATAGCAAGGATGAAATTTTTAAAGGAGGAATGGCATTAAGGGCCTTAAAAATAGAGCTTATTTTGCTTAGGGCCTAAATGAATATGAAATTTCTCTACAGGCGTTGAGACCCTAAGTGCAATATTTCTTCAGAGCAAAAATACTATTTTATCCTTAATGAATAGAAATGAAATTGAACATAGAGAAAAAATGACAAACGCACGAGAATGGGTATTTAGCTGGAGAATGGGAAGGTTTTTGACCTCTAATGGGGAAGAGTAACTTTTGAGGTGCGTAAATTTCAAAATCTCTCCATTTTAAGTGGTGCTTTGATGATTTCAAAATCTCAACTGGAGGTTTTCAGGTTTCTCACATTCTTGTTGTAGAAATGAGCTGAGATTTTTACTGTTGTTACTGTAAAAATGAGAGGCATCCGTTGTTGCTACATAAATCATTTAAGGGTAGAAATAATTTAAGGTTTGTCATTGCTGCATGTTAGTTGTTGGTAAAGTGATGACAGATATGATCTTCACTCATTTAATATGTAATAGTTCATTTAATGGAAGAATTTAATAGTGGTTTTAGATGAGATAGTAAGGTGCATATGAGATGGACTTTTTATTGTACAAAGTTAAATGTGATATTGTTAAAATTAAAATTTTATTTATGATTCTACTGCTGATATAAGGTAAAGGTGCTGAACCATTTTGGCTATAAAAGTTTTAGAGTGAATTAGTTGTTGCACAATAATGATGGTTGACTTGATTATATTGGAGTTTTACATGTGAACTGAATAAAATATGATCCAACATGAAGAAAATCTTCTATAAAAAAATGTTGGCGTATTTGTTGTGCAAAAATAAACTTTGAGTTGTTTTTGTTGAACGTTAAGATGTTCATTATGTTAAATCTAGCCTAATGATAAATTAGAATCACATGATGTTCAGCGGTTCATGTGAGAATGTATGAACTTCGTGTTATGCATAGTGGATATTATGTTGCGTCATGTTTGCCTACCTTGAGCATTCCTTTTGTTAAGCCTAGCCTAAAGATAAACTGGAATAACATAGACTTTCAGGTGAGAATATATGAATCTTGTATTATGCATAGGCAAATAACATAGTGAATAACATAAACTTTCATTTCCTTTTTGTGCAAATATATACATAATTCCAATTACAAATAAAAATTATTTTCAAATTACAAAAATACATCTTAAAATATATACATAATCCAAGTAGGAGAACCTAATTCCACAATCTTATAATTTTTCTTCTCATTTGCTTATTCCTATAAGTGTAAGTGGACATTCACAGATGATATTATTGGGATGCTCCACCAGCCAGCATAATATGTCACACCTCATGGCTAATAGTTCTTGTGTTGTATATCTAGGCAAGGTAAATGGAGGATGGTCAACATTAACAGTATTGTTCCAAAATTTAAGCCACATAATGAGATGAATTCCACAATTATCACTGCATAACAAAGGCAAAATAGTGAGATATGAATGGATATTTTGTTCAACAATCTTTAGCTTTTATCAGTAAGCTAGGCTTTCTTAATAAATTACACAAGTAGGCAAACAATATATAGCACAATATCCACTATGAACAACACAAATTTCATATATTCTCACCTGAAAGTCTATGTTATTCCAGTTTATCATTAGGCTAGGCTTAACAAACGAAATGCTCAAGTTAGGCAAATATGGCATAACATAATATCCATTATGCACAACACAAAGTTCATATATTCTCACCTGAACTAACTTAATGGTTCAACAACCTTTAGCTTATATCAGTAGGTTAGGCTTCCTTAACAAATTGCACAAGTAGACAAATAATGTATAACACAATATCCACTATGCACAATACAAGGTTCATATATTTTCACCTGAAAGTCCATGTTATTTCAGTTTATCATTAGGCTAGACTTAACAAAAGGAATGCTTAAGGTAGGCAAACATGGTACAACATAATATCTACTATGCACAACACGAAGTTCATATATTCTCACCTAAACGTCATGTGATTCTAATTTATTATTAAGCTAGACTTAACATAATGCATATCTTAATGTTCAACAAAAACAAATCAAAGTTCATTTTTGCACAACAAATACTCCAACATTTTTACAGAAGATTTTCTTCATATTTGATCATATTTTATTTAGTTCACGTGTAAAACTTCAATATAAATAAGTCAACCATCATTATTCTGTAATAATTAATATATTCTAAAACTTTCATAGCCAAAATGGTTCAGCACCTTTACCTCATATCAGCAGTAGAATCACAAATAAAATTTCAATTTCAACAATATCACATTTAACTTTGTACAACAAAAAGTCCATCTCATATACACCCTACTACTTTATGTAAAACCCCCATTAAATGCTTTCATTAAATGAACTACTACATATTAAATAAGTGAAGATCATATATGTCTCCACTTCACTAGCAATTGACATGTAGCAATGACAAACTTTAAATTATTTCTACCCTTAAATGATTTATGTAGCAATAACGGATGTCTCTTATTTCTACAGCAAGAACAATAAAAATCTTAGCTCATTTTTACAGCAAGAACGTGAGAAACCCAAAAACTTCTAGCTGAGATTTTAAAATCATCAAAGCACTGCTTAAGATGGAGAGATTTTGAAATTTACGCATCTCAAAAGTTACTCCTCCCATTAGAGATCAGAAACCTTCCTATTTTCTAGCTGAATACCCATTGTCGAGCGTTTGTCATTCTTTCTCTGCGTTTAATTTCATTTCTGTCCATTAAGGGTAAAATAGTATTTTTGCTTTGAAAAAATATTGCACTTAGGGCCTCAAGGCCTGTAGAGCAATTTCAGATTCATTTAGGCTTTAAGTGAAATAAACTCTATTTTTAAGGCCCTTAATACCATTTTCTCATTTTTAAACCCACCAAGATTGAGTCGCGTTGAGTCATACTTAAGGAAACGAATCAAATTTACAATTTGTAGTCAAAAGAAATATTTGATTATGCAATTTATTATTTTTTACATGTAATAAATATAAGCACCGAATAATAGGTCTCACATCTATCTTTTTTTTTTTTGTTGGGACAATCACATTCAGGAACCAGTTAAGAAATTTATTGACGTCGACAAAGATAAACATATAATGGATTGTTATTAAAATATAAGCATATTTATTTATTTTGGAATGGAATTTGTTATTAATTTTTATTTGTGAATAAGTTTTTGAATTGCTTTAGATGAAAATTTTCCTAATTTTTTAACTATAAATCTCATGTTTCCATCACCATTTTTTCACTACAAGTCTCATACCTTTTAAACTGAAGGATCCATTTGTCCCGTACCTATTTATTTATTTTTGAACTGTAGGACCCATATATCTCATACTTATTATTATTATTATTACTATAAGACCCACATGACCCATTTCTATTTTTTAATTGCGGTATCTAACAGTTTATACATACATACATATTACATATATATATATATATATATCTCAATTTATATTTTAGTTTTTAATTTTAAAATATCTTTTTTCATTTGACCATAAAAATTATCTGAAATAATTAGTATAAATGTAAAAATATATTAATTTATGTATTATATATCAACAAATATATAAATTTACTAATACTAATTTATAATGTTTAAACTTATATCACTATGAATAAATTATCTAAATCATTTTTTTGTTAATCTAAATTTAAATCTAAAATCTAAATCCAAAATATATTAATCATCCTTCTATATATCTTAAAGTGCATCATTCCACAGTATTCTACAGTGGAATGATCGTTAATTTTTTTTTTAATTTTTTTAAACTTTACAGATTATGTGGAATCAATTCTATGAAAATAAGTGTGAGGTTTATAATAATAAAATAATAATAAATATGAGACTTATGATAAAAGTTATAGGTGTGAGACTGTATCATTTAGTGCTTATATTTTTCATATGTATAAGATAATCAAATAAAAATTGTTTGTCCCACAGTAAATCTATAATGGGATCAATGTTAATTTTTTTTAATTTAATATAAAAATAAGTGTGAAGTTTACAGTGAAAAATAATAGTATATGTAAAACTGATAATAAAAATAATAGGCATGAGATTTTATCATTTTTATATTTTGATATGTTTAAGATAAGGGCAGAAAAAATATTTGTTGCACTGGAAATCTATAGTGAATGAATAGTAATTTTCTAAAAAAAATTTAAGTTTTGAAAGATTACGTGAGAATTGTGATATTTTTAAATATTAAAATATTCTCGTGCATTTATGGGAATACGTCATTGCTTCGTTAGTTTGCGCAATCCGGAAATCCACCACGATTCTTATCCGCATGTAGCTTGAATCCGTGACGAACTAAACCTCAACGTGTTCCCGGTTTTCGTTATTTCGTAACGTTGTTTGAAACATCTCAATTTTGGCCCAACGAATTTATTTGTCGATCACTTACGTAACCGCCAATTTTTTTTTTCCCCCTTCCCTCTCCCCCCACCCCATTTTTCTTTTCCTCAACAACCGTCATTTCTCTCTCTGTTGTGTCTGTACGGTGCACCTGATTCTTCACCTGACATTCAACACACAACTGCCATTCTTCTGAGAACCATTTACAATTGTTTATTTGCTGTTCCTTTTCTCGGTCGCTCAATTGGTTGTATATAAGGATTCCATCAGTTTTCCCAAGCTCTTCTTGCTCGCTCCTTCTGGTTTTCCTTCTTTTCGAAACCCTTGTTTGTGAACTTGAGAAAGGCCACTAGGAAAGTTCTGCAGCTCGCAGCAGTTGATGGAATTTAATTGACTCTATGATCTGTGAAATTCTCCGCATTTGCATGTCCATTTTGAGCATAGCAATTTGAGTTCTTTTGCCCCCTCCTTTGTCTATCGCCTCGGAACCGGCCGTGATGGTGGAATCCGAGGATCCCAATCGTGCGGTTGATGAAATTTCTCCTGACTTGCTAAAAAACACGCCTTCTAATATTGCGAGATTGGAGGATGTGATCGAGCATTCTAAAGCAAGGCAGAAATATCTTGCGCAGACGGCGAGCCCATCTGATGGGGGTGATGTTAGGTGGTACTTCTGTAAGGTCCCTTTGGCAGATAATGGTAAGTTTGTGTTTATATTAAAGTTTTATAGTGCTTTTGCATGACTGATAATTCAATCCGGTCCCTAACTGGCCAGTGACCGAGATTTCTCTTTAAAATATTTGGCATTCCTTTCCATCTAAAAACCACCGAAGACTCTTTAAGGTTTTAATTTGTTCATCAATTATATTATGAGCACAAGAGGATGTGGGTGCCACTGTCTTCTTTGTTCTTCCAGCGGATTTCAATGATTATTGAATCCATTGCTTGCTCCTCACCACTAGTAGCCAAGGCTACATTATCCTATTTCAAATTATTACCTTCAAAGAAGGTAATCTTCTTCTTTAGGTTGTGTGAGTAAATCTTCAGCTTTACGCTTTGTGCAATACTTGAATTAGGAATGTTGTTTCCTGATTAATCCGTAGCATTCGCTACGATTACATGCAAATACCTCATGTACAGCAGCTACAGTGGATCTCAGATCTACAGTAAAGTTGCTGTGGCAAAGTGCCGGTTGCTAAGCTTAGAAAGGCTCTTAGGCAATCTCTATGCTGACATATCAAGTACATAAATTTTTTGTCCAGTGTTTTTTTTTTTTTTGGTTGTTGATTCAGCTCCGTTTTCTTTTCCTTGTTCTCTATTTTGCTACAGAAATATTCTACTGACCTCATCTTTTGTCGACTTTGCAAGTTGCAACTTTAGCAGCAACTTCCTTCACTCTAGAGCTCGACAGTTAAACGTTTAACTTTTACTTTTTAGCAGCATCTTTTAAGTATCATAAGTAAATGTCTATCTGGTTTCAGCATCTGGTTATTAAAGTCAGGAAAGGCTCTTTATATCTATCTATTTGTGTGTGTGTGTATATGTATATTTCATATGCTCTTGGGTTGTAGACGTTTCATCTGTGATGAGGGGAAACTATTGCTTATGAGCATCTATTAGAAAAGGTGAGCGTGGCATTTATTGAGGGGAAAATGGTAGAAAATCATTTGATATGATTTGGACATATACGGAGAAAGTTATGGGAGGCATCGGTGAGGAGAATGGAATGGATAATCTTGAGTTCTGTAAAGAGGGGTGAAGGAAGATCAAAGAAAACACTTATGAGAGTTGTTGAATGAGACCTTTTAATTAATAATATTCTTAAAAGTTTGGTTAATGATAGAGTACAATGCGTTGTATAATCCACGTAGCCAATCTCACTTAATGGGATTCTTTTTTTCTTGTTCTTTTTTTTTTTTTTTGGTGGGGGGATATTCTCTTGTGCAAATAACCAAACCCTTAGTTCTACTTCTTCAAGTCAGAGCTTAAAAATCCAACTTTGAACTACAAAAAAGGTAATAATGTTGCAGAACGCTGTTTCCTACACTTTGTGATGCTTTATCTTTTTCTTATAGATTTTCTTGGTCTAAGTAATGTGAAACTTGGGTTATGTATTGGCTCGTCACTCTGAACATTTATAAAACTTATTCTATTGTAATCTGCAAAATTTGATAGTCTAGGACTTACATGAACACGTCCACCTTATGTGCCTGATGGTGGTTATATTAAGTGGAAGATCAATGCTTCATGCATATTGGTTGTAGTATGCACCGGCAGGCATGGATGAGATTCTGTTAAAGCCATTTGTCTGTCATCCTTCTTTAACTTCTGAAACTGAACAATCTCCATTATTCTTGGTTGGCTCTTTGATCCTGTATCCCACACAAGTGATATGTACTTAATTTTGCTGTTTTTTCTGTCATTTGCATACAGTGTTGTCTGCTTCAATTCCTCGCACAGAAATAGTGGGAAAGAGTGATTACTTTCGTTTTGGTATGAGAGATTCTTTGGCTATTGAAGCATCTTTCTTGGAGGTAAATGAAATGAATGTATATTTGGATAAAATTTATGCATTTCTCTTTGACGTTTCACTTACTAGCCCTTTGGCTGACCTTTAGATAGTTACATTCTTTGCTAATTATGAATTTGTAGAGAGAGGAAGAATTGCTTTCTAGTTGGTGGAGAGAATATGCAGAATGCAGTATAGGTCCAACAGAAAGACAAAGTTCTGATAGCAAAACGGATAAACATTGTCATGGATCTTCTAAAGGTATTGATTGGCCATCTGAATTATATGAAATTGAGGAAGAAAGAGTTGGTGTCCCTGTAAAAGGAGGGCTTTATGAGGTAACGTTTGTTTTATTTTTGTTGTGTTAGTTTTCTGTAGTAGTTTCAATAATATAATATGTAGTTTATTTTTATTTTTTATTTTTAATTTTGGGAGACTATGCAGTCTGACTGCAGGCAACAGAAGAATTAAATTTCTTACTTGTATACTTCTCATACCATATATGGACAACATATTGATTATGATTTATGATTAGCATATAGCCAAGTATTTTAAATGCTGGAAGCTGTTTCTTCCTGCAGGAAATTGAGGTTGTCAAGCGAATTTGCACATAAACACATTGAATACTTTGAAAATCTTGAGAAGCAGGTTTACACTATATAGTATTTATGTTAAACAAAAGAAAGACCATCCAATGAATAAAGTGAAGAATGTGAAATTAGATGCTGATACATGGGAATTAGGAGTAATAGGGGTAATTAGGGATATACAGATAGTTTGGGTATTTAGTTATATCATCTATAAATAGGCCTCTAGGTTGTAATGGGTCATTATGAATGGAATTAATCTTTCTCTTCCTCTCTATTTCCCTTTTGCCTCTTTGCTCTCTCCCTCTTTCTATTTTACCTCTATCAAATGCTTTCTTTCTTTGGGAAATAGTGGCAACAGTTATAGTTTGAGCTCCCTCAATACCTGATTCAATATTCTTACTTCCTTGCATATATCAGAGGAAATAGAACTTAAAATTTAAAAATTAATTCAATCTTATTTCCCATAAGAAGAACAAAAATCTTATGTGTGGACATTTGATGTTTTTCTAGCTTACCTTACACATTGATTGATGAATCTAACTTATTCATGAATTTAACTTACATTTTAACCATATAAGGGGATGAAGATAATGATCATTTTTTCACATCAGCATATTTAGAATGTTGTTAATTGCATATTGAATTTGGGTTGATCATTTAAAATTAAGATAATATGGTTTCTCTCTTTTTGTCTCCCTCCCTCTCTTCCCCCTTTCTTGAATATATATTCTCTTCAATTGTGCGTTTGTCAATTGATGCAGGTAGATTTAGTAAAACGACATTGTTTTCCTGTTTATTGGAATGGAGAAAATCGACGAGTTCTAAGAGGCCATTGGTTTGCTCGTAAAGGGGGCTTAGATTGGCTTCCACTTCGTGAAGATGTTGCTGAACAACTAGAGGTTGCATATCGTAGTCAGGTCTGAATTTCATGAAATGTTTTTTCAAATTGGTCGGTTGTACGAATTAGTGTCATGAGAACATGGTAAAAATATGTGAAGCGTATAGCTTTTACATAAATAGGTCCATAAGCAAGGGATTGTGAGGCAATTTGCTGAAAATAAGGACCGGAATAATCTGTCTTATAATATCCTAACACTATGATTTAAAGAAAAAGAAATATTTTACATCCGAAAATAAAAAATACTGGGCTAAAATCATGTGATTCATAACACTTTATGATTTATACTTAATTCATGGGATCCACTAATGGGTCTTTTTCCTGGGATCTCCTATATATATGGATTATATATATTTATCTTGTTCCATTCTAAAGAGCTAATAAATCAGCATATTGTTTTCTCTGATGTCCTTAAATTATTTTTTATTTTATTTTCTTAAGCTCAAAACATTGATACATCTACTTATTAATTCGTGCTTCAATTGCTATCTTGGTTCCTAAACTTGGTTACTTCTTTGAAAATGCAATTGGTCTCGTGAAACTATATCAAAACCACATATCCTTTATGATGTCTTTGATGGAATATCTCTTTTTTGGGTCAGTGACTAGTAATTTGGAGATCAAATTCTTTGCTTCTTGTGAAATACAACATGGGAATATGTACTAAACTTTGAATGCTTTCTTGTAAATTCTCATTGCGTTCTCATATTGAAATGGAAGATACCTAAAAAGCAAAGCATGGAGAATTACCCCACAATCTATTTCTATTTCAAGGATGTTATGTAATAAATAAGTAAATAATATTAGTTAAAGGGTTAATAGGTTGTTTGGATAGTTACTTAAGGGTGTCAGGTATGAGCTATAAAAGGACACCAAAAAGACCGTTGTAATCAGTTCTGGAAAATCAGTTCTGAGAATAATAGTCTTGAGTTCCCTATTTCTATCTTCCTCTCTCTAGTCTCTTTCTCTCTCTGTTTCTCTATCTTCTCTTTTTCCTTCCCTTTTCTCTAATTCTTATACATTAGTGGTATCAGAGCCGGTCATCCTCGGCCACGGCACACCCTTCATTCCAAGAATATGAGGATGAGCACCGGATGTGGCTTTGTCAGTAGGGGAGTGTGAAAGAATTCAATGAATTCTTTGATAGCCACACTAGCAAGTTAAAATTACAAGAAAAATATTTGGTTTCTGCGTATGTGGCTGGGCTTAAACCAGAACTTGTAGAACCAGTGCGTCTCTTCAAACCAAGAACGATGCAAGAAGCTAGAAGTCTTGCAAGAATGCAAGAAATCATGCTAATACGTCAAATAGAAAAGAAGGAACAGGAACTTCGAGATAACTATGGGTCACAAGAGTTTAAGATTGAGCAAGAAACCTCTATTCATAAAAAAGATAAGGGGTCTTGTTCATTTACGTCCCAAGAAATATGTGACAAGGTTCAACAATCCTTAGTGCATGATGCTAACATCACGAAAGGGCTCCAGTGTATTCTTGACGTCAAGCAAGGTAATTTCAAGGAGACTCGAGGTAGGCTGAAGTCGTCCGTTTCAAACAGAGTCACTCCGCCTTTGCATCTTGAAGCTGATATGAGTCGAGCTGTTCAGGAAGTTTCGAAACAGCAGTTCAGTCAAGTTGCAGAGTTTTTCTCATTGTGGGTCCCTTATGATCATAGGCTTTTAACCTCATCTACTCTTGGTTTTCCAAAGTCACTGCAGCTGTCTTCTTGGTTTCATCTATCATGGCCTCTGCATACTTCCTTAGCATTGCCTGTCTTTATTTCTTCATCGCTATCCCTATTTCATTTGCATACCCAGAAGTCTTTGCGAAGTGAGGGCTGTGTCCAAGCTCCAAGAAAAAGAGAGAAGTATACAAGAATGAGAAATACAGAAGTTTTCAAGAAAGAAAAAGAGTTTCTTGTTTTTTCTGCTCAGAGAATCACATGGATGCATGTTTTAGGTGTTGAAAAGTCAGACACTTACCTAGCTCACGTGGGTTGGTTAATATGGTGGTGGTATGGTATTCTCAAGTCTAGAAAAAAAAAAAAAACAGAGAGAGAGGAAGGAATAGTCAGAATCTGTACTGGGTTAGACCTAAAAGGCCCAATACCTATTGTCTGATGGATTCACGTGCCTATAGACCTATCTCCTATGCTTTCACTTTAAATAAGGCTAGAAACACCTTCAGTCAATTCACTTGTCTTCTTCAAGATTACAAATGAGTTTCTGGGGATTTTTAAATTTTTGTACTTGACCCTTGAGGGCAAGGGTCTTTTGGGGAGGGAGTATTGTTATGTAATAAATAAATAAATAATATTAGTTAAAGGGTTAATAGGTTATTAGGATAGTTATTTAAGGGTGTCAGGTATGGGCTATAAAAGGACACCAAAAAGACCGTTGTAATCAGTTCTGGAAAATCAGTTCTGAAAATAATAGTCTTGAGTTCCCTGTTTCTATCTTCCTCTCTCTAGTCTCTTTCTCTCTCTGTTTTCTCTATCTTCTCTCTTTCCTTCCCTTTTCTCTAATTCTTATGCATCAAAGGATGGATCTAGAGTAATTTGGAGATCAAATTCTTTGCTTCTTGGCTGTGGCCTTGATTTCACAGTCTTAGGTCGTGCCGATAAGGATGCCATGTAAGCACCATTTGTGACATGAGAGCGAGGTCAAGTTCAACTCACTAATGATAAGGATGGAATTTTTAGACAGACCAAACTTCAAGACTGAGTTGCGATGAGTTAAACTTGAAGGATTGAGTTATGATTGAACTAAAAGTTGAAGGACCAAATGAATAACTTTTCCTTTATTTATTTTCTGTAATCTCTGTTTCAATAGCAACAATTATTTATGTTTGATTTCATCTTACAGGTTTGGCATCGCAGAACCTTTCAGCCATCAGGACTTTTTGCAGCTCGTGTTGATTTGCAAGGATCAATCCCTGTATGTGGATGATTTTGCAAATATTGTTATTATTTCTTAAATTGATTATGTTGTTTTCATAGTTAACATCTTGTGTGTCACTTTATGTTTGGTGTTTGTCATGTAGGGCCTGCATGCTCTTTTCACTGGAGAGGATGGTACCTGGGAGGCCTGGCTAAATGTTGATTCTTCTGGATTTTCTAATATTGCTAGTTTGACTGGTAATGGCATCAAGCTAAGACGTGGTTATTCCCCATCAAGCTCACCAAAACCAACCCAGGTTCTCTTTCTATCTCCCTCAAGGTTTTAATGTTTAGATATGGCATGCTACCCTACTTCTCTTCCATCGTTTGATGACTGTATATCTTTGTGAATTGTTATACTTTGGCGAGAAAAAGATGTTGAGGGCTAGTCTTTTCTCAACAATTCTTTGATGCCTGATAAATGAAGATAAGAATCAAAATCTGACGGACAAGGAGGCTTTACATAGACGTGGTACACTCTATGTCAGACCTTTTGCATATTTTAAAGATAAACTCAGGATATAATTAAGGTTTCCAATAGTAATAAATCCTATAACCTTAGGTGGTAATAAATTAGGCTCTTGATGAAGATAAAGTCTTAGTGTATCAGAAGCTCCACTTTGGTAGGTGTGTTAACAAATTGCAGTATTTGGGTGTTTCAATCACAATAAGGGTATCTTGGTAATCTGTCTGAGCTGGGCAGATAATTTATATTTGTAATGTCTCCTTTTTTTCTTTTATAGCATTTATTTTTTCTTTGAATCTAGATTTGGACTCTTGGTTTTCCCTGTCTTCATTTATTTTCTATCCTATTCTCCAAACACAAAATAGTTTGTTCTGGATAAATTATTGGGATGGTTAAAGCTAGTAAAACCCAAAATAAAAACAGAAAATATCGTTTGCCTGAATTGAAGTACTGAATTGGATTAATAATAATTTGTTGTCGATTTATGTGCCTAAAATGTCCATTTCTCCTCTTACCTTACCGTGTGCACGGATTTTGTGGAATTTTCTACTCTTCTATACCGTAGTTGGACCTTTTTGGAATAAGTTGTTTGAAGTATTCTTTCAGTAGGTTTTAAAGGGACTGGATAGGAAAAAGAGGCCATGAATCTGTGAAAGGATTTTGGGAAAGGATATGTTCATTACTTCGTTTTGGTGTTTTTTGCATAATACAGGGTTTCTTTTTAAGATTTGCAAATAGATCGGCTGCTTTGCTGCGTGTTTTGATCACTTATTTGTTTTCCTATCTTATTGTCTTTTTTCTCCCTGGATGTCTTATTGTCATTGTGAAATAAGATGGGTTTGTTGATCCATTTGATACTGAATTTATGACATTTGATGTTGCTAACCTACCAGCTACTAGTTATAAGATAAAATACAAGTCTATACCTAACAGCTACCCAAACTTAATATGTTCAATCATCCTCCCTCGAGTTGAAGCATATAAATTATATGCAAGTTTATCGCATATAAATTATATGCGCTCCCAGGATCTCTAGGAGACATGGTGAATATATTTGTTAGGTGGTCATGTGAATTAACAAACGTAGTACCGAGAGAACCAGATTGAATATTCTCCCTCATAAAATGGCAATCAACTTCCATTTGTTTGGTTCTTTCATGAAGTACTTTATTATAGACAACATGCATTGTTGCTTGATCATTTCCAATTTCGAACTCATCCTCCCCCTCTTTATTTCCCTTATTTTTTAATAAAGGACTTGTGTTCTGTAAAGCAAAAAAATTGTATCTCTCCTCTTTCTGAGTGGAATTGCATTTTCAATTCCAGATAAAAAAGTTGAACATTTGTATGTTCTTTCTAGCTGGGAGAAGGTAAACCAAGAGCGGTCCCTTTGTTACTAAATATCATCATTTCCATTTTCCAGGATGAATTACGTCAGCGGAAGGAGGAGGAGATGGATGATTACTGTTCACAGGTATGTACCATATACCCATGTTTTATACATCATTACATAGGTCACAGGTTTTTAACCTGGAGATTTGGTGCTGTAAGATGAACACAAGTCTAGGAAATTAGCCTAATATTTTTGTGATATAAGTAAAAATAACCTCAAAGAGATATGCTTTTAATGCTATTGGGTGGTTCAATCACAGCGGATAATCATTATGGATTGTAATCAATGGTGTGGTGTAAAATTGATAATTTGAGTGGTTTTGATGTTTTCCGGAAGAAACAAAGAATAAACATTAATTTGAGTGGTTTTGATGTTTTCTGGAAGAAACAGAGAATAAACATTTGGAATTTATTTTCAAAATAAATATTTGAGAAAACAAAATCTCAAGTGAAAAATAATAGCTATTCTAGATTCACTAGGAACTCTGCTGCTTTTATTGTTTCTGAAAATTAAGTTTTGTCATGTGATACTGGTTAATTTTTTCCTAATTTTTCCTGACCTTGGTCCTCTTGAATGAGTTTTATGACAATGACTGATTGTAGGTCCCTGTTCAACACTTGGTATTTATGGTTCATGGGATTGGGCAAAGGTTGGAAAAATCTAATTTGGTTGATGATGTGGCCAATTTTCGGCATATTACAGAAAGTCTGGCAGAGCAACACCTTACTGCGCACCAGCGTGGCACTCAAAGGGTCCTCTTTATCCCATGTCAGGTATCTATTATTTGGTATTCCTCCCTTTCCTCTCTGTATGTATGTTTTCAAGCTTGTAATAAATTTGGTTTCTTTATTTTTGCATGACAATGGGCATTTCCTGCCCCTTTCTTTAAGGACACTTGCTGCTTTTTCCCCTTTCTTTGGAATTGAGGATTTTCTTACCTTATCATTCTCCCACCTGAGCTCATTCTCATCATTCTCTATTGTTTAGCTTTTAGATACAATAATTTTAGGGGCTATGTGCTTATCTATAGGTAGCAACTTTGCAAGACTGTGGAAGGAAGTCAAAGATAACGGGATTTTACATTATGATATGAAAAGAATTCTAGGGTTTTTTTATGTTTTAAATTTAAATATATATTAATGTGAATGTGAATGGTAAATAGAGTGAAGAAAGTTCCTTATCTGTTTTCATAACATTGGTGTCAATTACATACAAGAACTCTATCTATATTTATAGCTGGTCTCAAGCTTGAGTAAAGGAGAAGAGTTGTGTTAGGCTCTTAATAGCGAACGTAAAACTTTATTGAATCTCACATGATATGGACAATAGACGCCTTTATGCTAATGCCAAGTCGTTGTGCGTAAGTAACATGCTGCATGGCTCGAGTGTAGTGACAAGTGAGTTAGAGTTGCTTTACTTGGATGTAGTGTTAAACTAGATAGAGTTACTGCGTTATTCTGGACGGGTGTGGCTAAAGAAGTTAGCCCATATCAGCAAGATTAGATTTGGCACTTGGAATGTTGAGACCTTGAATTGTAAATTTATGGAGGTGGTAAGAGCTATGATTCATAGAAAAATTAATATCTTGTACTTGCAAGAAACTAAATGGCTCAGTGAACAAGTTTATGATATTCAAGGTTTCAAATTTTAGTATACAAGGAAAGTAAGCACATACAATGGGATGGGTATCATTATTGATATGGAATGAAAGAAGAACGTGGTAGAAGTTAACAGAATTGGGGCAAAATTATTTCCTTAAAAATAATTGATGGATGTGAGAATGTCAATATTATTAGTACTTATATACCTCAAGCTGGGGCAGAAGCCGGTCTTAAGGAATTGTTTTGGAAAGACTTGGAGGAGTTGATTCAACGCATGCTACAAAGTCAAAAGATCTTTATTGGAGGAGACTTTAATGGTCATGTTGGAAGGGAGGTAGGTCATTATGTGGGGGTGCATGGTAGTTTTGGTTTTGGGAAGCTAAACAATGAAGGACAATTTATTCTTAATCTCAATTTGGCGTATGATTTCAAGATTGCCAACACTTATTTTAAGAAGAAGGATGAACATCTTATCACTTACAAAAGAGGGACCTCAAGGTCACAGATTGATTTCCTTTTAGTGAGGAATATGGATAGAAGACTTTGTAAAAATAGTAAGATAATTCTTGGGGATGCAGTAACGACACAACAACACAGGGTCCTTGTCCTTGATGTGCATATTGTGAATAAGAATTAAAAGCGTTGACAAGTGGTAACTTTGAGGATTAGGTGGTAGTAGTTGAAAGGTGAGGGTCGAATGTTTTGGCTAAAGGAATTTGAGAGTCTTAGAGAAGTGCTAGCATGTTGTGGGAGGATATGGTTAAGAAGGTAAGAAATGTTGCTATAGAAGTTTTGGGAGAACCAAAAGGTCTTGATCTGAGAGATAAGAAGTCTTAGTGGTGAATGATAGTGTATAAAAAAAAGTCAAACATAAGAATGAGTGTTTTAAAGCCATTTATTTGTGCACTAATGATGAAAATTGGAAAGGTACTATATGACTAAGAAGGAAACTAAGAAAGTTGTGAGTAAAGCTTGTTCTAAAGTATTTGAAGACTTTTACATTGGTCTTGGGGTAAAGGATAAAGAACAAAAAATTTATAAGATTGCTAAGAGTGGGGAAAGAAAATCAAGAGATCTGGAATAGGTAAGGTTTATAAAGGATGAAGAGGGAAGAATTTTGGTCATAAATAATGATATTAAATATAAACGGGAGACTTACTTTTCCAAATTTTTCAATGATGGAGAGGGTTCGTCTAATAACTTGGAGGATTTAGTAACTTATGAAGGAGAACAAAATTTGTCATTCTATCAAAGGATACGTGATAGTGAGTTAAAGGAAACTATTAAGAAAATAGCAAATAGTAGAGCTAATGGATCTGATTGTATTCATATTGAGGTGTGGAAATGTTTAAGTAAAGAAGATGTGTGGTGGTTAACTAAGTTATTTAATGAGATCTTATGGTCCAAGAAAATGTTTGACAATTGGAGAAGAAGCACTTGAGCTTCTATTCACAAAAATAAAGGGAATATTTAGAATTGTACTAACTATGGAGGGATTAAACTTATGAGTTATACAATGAAATTATGAGAAAGAATAATTGAGCATAGATTGAGATTGGAGACTGGTATTTTTGATAATCAGTTTCGCTTCATGCCAGGTAAGGCGATTACAAAACCGATTTATCTATTGAGCGGATTAATGGAAAAGTATTGATGCAAAGGTAAAAATTTACCCATGGTTTTCATTGATTTGGAAAATGTTTATGAATGTGTACCGACATAAGTACTTTGGAAAGTCTTGGAAAAGAAGGGAGTTCAGGATGCATATATTAGAGCTATATTAGATATGTATAGGGGCAACAACTAGTATAAGAATGTTTGGTGGCGAAACAAAAGACTTTTTTATAAAGATTGGGCCATATTGGGGATCATCTTTGGGTTTTTATTTGTTTGACTTGGTCCTAAATATTTTAACTGAGTATATTTAAGAGGAAATCCTCAGGTGCATGCTTTTTACAGATAATATAGTTCTTATTGCGGAAACAAGAGAGGAGATTAATTGTAAACTTGACTTATGGAAGAGGACATTGGAGTCAAAATGTTTCTACCCAAGTTAACAATATTTTTAAAAGTTTGGTAAATGATAGAGCACTATGGCTTCGTATAATTCATGTAACTGAACCTACCTAGTGGGATAAGGTTTTTTGTTGTTGTTCTTGTTGTGTCAATTACATACAAGGTAAAGGCTCCTACGAGTTAATACTAATAATGACAAATTTATGCCTGTTAATTATGGATTATTCTAACTTATTAATTGCAAATATATGCAGAATATCCTGACAATTAATTTAAGGGAAATTGACTTAAAGAGGATAATCTAGATAATTAAGATAAATATATTTATTCATAAATAAGAAAAACACTTATGGTTTGTATTATGTAATAAATAAATAAATAATATTAGTTAAAGGGGTTAATCGGTAGTTAGAATAGTTACTTGGGGGTGTGGGCTATAAAAGGGCACGAAAAAGGTTCATTGTAATCAGTTTTTGGAAATAATAGACCTGAGCGCCTTATTTCTATCTTCCTCACCCTCTTTCGTCTCTTTCTCTCTGTTTCCTCTATTTTCTCTCTTTCCTTCAATTTTATCTAATTATTATGGATCAGTTTGATAGCAATCAGACCCCATGGGATAGGGAAATATGATTCTTATTCTCATACCTCTCCTAGAATCACCCCTTGGAAGAGTTTATACCATATCACAAGGATTTAAAAAATCTCCAAATATGGTTCCCTGGATGGAACAATTCTCAAAGGGTAATTTGGGAATTTTTGCTTGAGTTTTCAAACTTCCTAACTCACTTATATCATCTTTGGTGATAATCATGTTATCAATGTAGACTACCAAAGTGGCTATTTTCCTATCACAGTGTTTGACAAACAGAGTGTGATCTGTTTGTTGTTGATTATACCTCTTTTTCTTTGCTGCTTGAGTGAACCTCTCAAACCATGCTCAAGGAGATTGTTTGAGACCATAAGACCATACAGAGACTTGCATAACTTGCATACCCTATTCTGATTTTCATTGTCGCTGAATCTTGGGGGAATATCCATGTATACCTCCTCTTCCAAGTTGCCATTGACAAAGGCATTTTTAACATCTAGTTGTGCAAAGGCCAATCAAGGTCCTGCCAAGGAAAGTAATACCTTGATTGTATTGAACTTAGCTGCAGGAACAAACATTTCGTGATAATCAATCCCATACTGCTACGTGAATCCTCTTGCAACCAACCTTGCCAATACAGAATTTGGGAATACAGAATACAGAATGATCTGAATACAGAATAAATAATTTTTTGGGAATACAGATACAGAATAAATAAAAGATACAAATAATTATTTTTAAATTAAATTAGATGAAACCGATCCTAAATGGGCTTGGACCATCAGTGCCTTCCAACAAATTTTTTATGTGGGAATCAATTGACTTGGTTTTTATTACCAAGATGAGAATAGTATGAGAATTTAGATTTCCCTGTATCTTGGATGGGTACATCAAAGTTTTGAAGGAATTATAATTCTCATGATCATGTAGTGAAAAACATATAATGGTTCTATGATTGTTCAGCCTTTTATTTTGAATCCTTCTTTCTTTCTCAACTCACATATTTGTATTTACATTTGGTAGCATATGATGTAGAATATTGAATATCTGTTTCTTTTCTTACTGTTCCCCTTATGTTTTTTACATTTATTTTAGTGTAATTAATATCTAATTGCATATTAATAGTGGAGGAAAGGATTGAAGCTTAGTGGTGAAAGTGCCGTTGAGAAAATAACCTTGGATGGAGTACGAGGCCTGCGAGTCATGCTGAGTGCAACAGTTCATGATGTGCTATATTATATGAGCCCAATCTACTGTCAAGACATTATTGACTCGGTAATGCATGCATTATATTATACATTGTCATTCAAGTAGATATTTTCCATTGAGAGATGCCAGTTACTTCACCACTCCTCACATCCCTCCTTCAAAACTCTTTCCTTGTTTTGATCAAGTTTTAGTTCACTCTACCTGATTTTAAAATGACTTTCATTTGGTTTTTAAAAGTTACCAGAATGATAAATTGTTGGAACATTGTAACTGTTTATTTATTTAATCTTTTTAGCAATTTGACTGATTTCATGATATATGCTTCCGATGTTTGTGGCTTCAAGGTAAAACTAGCAAAGGGGTTGATTTGGAATGAGGTGCCATAACTAAGGCTTGTGGGTGCGTGTGTTTTGGTGAAAAGTGAGAAATGCAAGTCGCTCATAATTTTTATGTGCTACTTTATATTATTATGCGGATGGTCCACCTGAATTTCTCTCTTGGGAAAATTAATCAATTAGTCCCCATAGTTTACACTCATATTCAAGTAAGTCCTGTGCTGCAAAAATTTGTGAGCAAAGAACCCAGAAAAATATTTAAAGAAGAGTAGACAACTCCTTAAAGGTTAGGTAACAGCATATTTGCTACTTGTTAGGATATCAGTATTTAATATATAGGTAGTCATAATCATAGGGATATTATTCTGTAGTTATGGGTCATTATGAGCCCGATTAAGGCTCCAACCTCTTGTATATATTCATGACCTCAATATGAATAAAATATGCTTTTAAGATCCATATTGCTATGACGCTAAGGGACAAGGATAATGGTAAGGGTGAATAAATCAATCTAAATGAGAAAATAAAGTGCCTGCACATCAGGGATAAAACATATAATTACAAATTACCGATTAAATGAAAGTAGATAAAGTGAAAAAGAATGTCGCCAACACTCTCCCTTGTGTTATTCAGCATTCCTAGCTTGCAAGTTGCAACATAGCTCTCCATACCTTGTTCTTGAGAGTTCTTTTAAAAGCAAATCTGGAACTTCCATATTGGTGGATATTTTAGCTAGGTCTGTTATACCTGCTTCTATGCTCTCCTTTTAAAATTGACAGTCTATCTCAACATGTTTATTCTTACCATGTTGTATGGGATTCTTTGCAATGTCAATGGTAGCCATGTTTCTACGCCAAATTTTCATAGGGGATTAGACTCCAATCTTCAATTCTACCAGTAGAGCTATGGCGTGGTGTTCAGCCTTTGTACTACTACTTGCTACTGCTTGTCTTTTACTTCTCCAAATGATAAGGTTTCCCCATTGTATTATACCCATTTGTTGGCCTATGTCAGTGATTGAACTTGCGTAATTAGCACCAGTGTAAACCTTAACTCCTCTTGTTCTTTCTTTCTCAAAGAACAAACCTTTTTCTAGGTGCGATTTTCAGGTACCTGAGACTTTTGAATACCTCTTCCATATTCTCCTTCTTGGGTAGGCTCATGAATTGACTTACTATACTCATAAGATAGCTTATTGAGAAATTGCAGTGCAAATTTTGTATATTCTGTTTCTCTAAATAATATGATACATATAGGGCTGAGGAGAGAATATAATCTCCTGAAATCCTCTCCCAATGATTGACGGAATTGAAGGAAATATTCTGTAATCTGTTAAGCAATTAAAGAATATTACGATACAATAATAACTAGAGAAAACTAGAGTTTTTAGGTTAATGGGCCTAGTAAACCTAAACCCACTTCCAACACTCCCCCTCAAGTTGGTGAATAGATATTGACCATTCCCGGCTTGCTTACAGAATCATCAAATTTGGCTCTGACAAGAGGTTTAGTCATCACATTAGCAACTTGCTTCCTAGACGGGACATAGGACAAGTCTACCACGTTAGCTTCAATCTTCTCCTTAATGAAATGTGTTAAAAGAGGGTCTAGGCCCAATACTATTAGCCCATTATGTTTTCTAGTTTGTTAATCCTAATTATCTAGATTAGACGTCATTCCTAAGTTTAAGAGATTAGTATTTGCTGTTATTATTATGTTTTATTTAGTATCATAATCTAGAGGATTTGGTGGCTTGATTCTCAGCAGCCTCCCTCTATTTATCCTTGTATCTTCTGTCTTATGACGCATCAATAAGAGAAAAACACAGTTTTCCTCAAAATGTCTATCAATTTTAACATGCTTGGTGCAATCATGCTGAATTGGATTATTTGCAATCTTAAGTGCAGTCATGGTATCACACCATGTCTTGATTGGAGCATCCAATTCTAACCCGAGTTCTTTCAACAGGCATTCAATCCACGTTCCTTCATAGATTCCCAGTGCCAATGCTCTGTATTCAGCTTTTGCAGAGTTTCTGGACGCAACTGGCTACTTCTTGCTCCTTCATGTTGCAAGATTACCCCAAACATAAGTACAGTATCTAGTGGTTGAGCGTCTATCATTAATTGCCCCTGCCTAATCAGCATCTGTATATATTTCTACACCTGTGTAGTTTTCTTTGCCCCGATATCACCTTGTTTGCATTTTTGTATATTTCCAATTTCTTTTGATTTCCCTTAGAGAAAAATAAGCCCTTTCCTGGTGTTCTCTTTAGAGACCTACGGATTCAATGTACAGCTTCCATGTGCTCCTTTTGAGGATTGCTAGCAAATTGACCTATAACTCCCTTTGCATATGATATGTCAAGTCTAGTGTGAGATAAATAAATCAGCTTACCCACTAATTTCTGGTACCTTTCCTTATTAATAGATTTGCCCTTAAGTTTTATCTTCAATTTGCAGTTAAGTTCCATTAGGATATCGGCAGGTCTAGCTCCTATCATCCCATTTTCCTTGAGTAGGTCCAAAGTATATTTTCTTTGTGATACACTAAGGCCCTTAGATGACCGAGCTATCTCTATCATATGAAAGTACTTTAGATTCTTGAGATCTTTCATCTTGAATTCTCTTGTTAATTTTTCCTTGAGTCTGGCAATTTCTTCAATGTCATCACATGTCAATACTATATCATCCACATAGACAATTAGCACTGTCATTTTTGAACCATTATGTTTAACAAATAGAGTATGGTCAGCCTGACAGCGTTTGTAACCAAATCCCTTAACTGCACGAGTGAACCTCTCAAACCAGGCCTCAGGGGATTGCTTTAATCAATATAAGGATTTTCATAGTTTGCACACCTTGTTCATATTTTCTACCCCTATTAACCTTGAAGGGATCTCCACATACACCTCCTCCTCATGGTCATCATTCAAGAAGGCATTTTTAACATCTAATTGATACAAAGGCCAATTCAAGTTCACAGCAAGAGAAAATAAGACATTGATGGTGTTCAATTTAGCAATAGGAGCCTATGTCTCTTGTTGGTCAATAGGTTTGAGTAAAACCCCTACCAACGGGCCTTGCTTTCTATTTGTTAATAATACCATCAAGATTAAACTTTTTGGTAAAAACCCATTTACACCCTCCAACTGACTTCCTTTTAGGTAATTCAACAAATTCCCAAGTTTGATTTTTATCTAGAACCTTCAACTCTTCTTTGATTGCAAATTTCCATCCTGGGTCAGTTATAGCCTCATCAAATGTTTTGGGAATTTCTTCCCCATCAATATTTGCAACAAACACCACAAAGTGAGGGCTGAGTTTGTTGTAGGAGACATGCCTAACGATAGGGTGCCTAGTACAGCTCCTTTTGCCTTTTCTGAGTGCAATAGGCCACTGTAAATCTTCTGGGCTGGTCTTGGGTAGGGAATCATGACTTTGCCTTGAAATAGTAATGGGATCTTTGCTTCTGGCTTCCTGTTCAGGTAGATTTGCTGCTGTCTTGGTGGCATCTGATTCTTTAACTCCTTTATGAGAGGTGGTTTGGGGTGGTGCAGCTCTGGAAAAAGATTCAGATTGAATATCAGATGCTGGAACAGGTGTTTTGATGTCAGAAATTGGTATTTCAGGTGCTGGAACAGGTCTGTATTGGTATGGACAGGTTCAAAACTTAAAGTAAGAGCATCTTGTGGTGCTTGAGGTCCAATATATGGGTTACTAGCTTGTTGAACAGTTGTTTAGTGTGAGTAGAAACATCATTTGTGGCACAAATTAACCAATCGCTATCATTCCCCCCATGGGTGGTTAATTGGGATAGAATGGCGGTGTTTTGACAAATTGAACATTCATGGTTATATAAACCTTTTTGGTGGCAGGTGAAAAACATTTATACCCCTTCTTAGAAGAGGAATACCCCAAGAAAATACATTTGATGGACCAGAAGTCCAATTTGTCACCATTATCATCAAGCACAAGGGCTGTACAGCCAAAAACTGGTCTTGGAAGAGAATGAAAAAGATGTGAATGAGGATAAGCTTCAATTTTTTTTTTTGAATTAGTGTCTGAAAATTTAAGACTTTGGAAGGCATTCAATTAATGAGGTAAGTTGCAGTATGAACTGCATCCCCCCAAAACAATTGGGAACATTATTTCCAAACAACAGTGCTCTAGTTACTTCTAAAAGGTGTCTATTTTTTTCTCTTGGTAACACCATTCTGTTGAGGAGTATGCACACACGAAGTTTGATGCTGTATTCCTCTTTTATCCAGAAAATTTTAAATTGGGAATTACGATACTCTTTTCCATTATCACTTTGCAAAATTTTAATTGAGGTTTGAAACTGGTTTTGGATGAAAACATAAAAATTTTTGAAAACAAAGAACACTTCAGATTTGTCTTGCATCAAAAATAGCCACTTTAAGTGAGTACGATCATCAATAAAGGTAACAAACCATCTGGCTTTAGAGCTTGTAGTGACCCTAGATGGACCTCAAACATTACTATGAATGAGAGAAAAGGGTTGAGTAGGTGTATAAGTGATGCAAAAAACACACACACACACACACACACACACGCTCATATTGATTTGAACAGAGTTGGAAAAGAGAGATACAGCAGAAACAGAGTAGGAGATCGAGAACAGAGAGGGAGAGAAAGATAGAATATAGAGAGAGAGGGAAGGACAGAATAGTGGGGGAGCAAGAGAGAATGAATCAAAACGTAGGGAGAG